CATGTTGCCCATCTAAGGACCAGTGAAGAGGCTCAGTGGAGTATTTGCCTTCACTCAGCACCTGCAATGCCACATGGTAACGGTAAAGCTTTCCTTGTAATAAGGAGCTTCATAACTTGTACTCTTCTCCAAATATAATTAGAATGATCAAGTCAAGGAGGATGAGGTGGGCAGGGCATGTAGCACGAATGGGGAAGACGAGAAATGCATATAGGATATTGGTGGGAAAGCCAGGAGGAAGGATACCACTGGGAAGACCAAGACGTTGGTGGGTGGACAATGTTAAAATGGATCTTAGAGAGATAGGATGGGATGGTATGGATTGGATTGATCTGGCTCAGGATAGGGACCAGTGGAGGGCTTTGTGAACACAGTAATGAACTTTTGGGTTCCATAATATGGTGGGAAAGTTTTGAGTAGCTGCATAATTGACGGCTCCTCCAGAAGGGTTCAGCTCCATCAGTAAGTAAATAAGTATAATCTTATGGGTTCCTATATGCTCCACAGAACCCGTTCTCAAACATCCTCAGCTTAGCCCTTCCCCAAGTTAAGACACGAATTTTTCTCCCATACAAAACAACAGATAAATCATAGTTCTTAATTTTTTAATCTTCGGTCATTTCCATGCGATTCGGAAAGATAAATGATTCTGAACCGAGCATTCCCGGAATTTACTATGCACTTAATTTCTGGGTGTATGTAACGTTAACTGTTAATGTTGTCCCCAAAATATATTTAAATTGTGCCAACATTTTTGGAAAATTTTATTGGATGTTTTAAAATAGTTATTTTGTCCAGCATTCCCGTGACGAGGCATGCAACGCAAATATGGGATATGAGGTTTTATGTAGTTGCTTTCAGGATCTGTGATCACTTCAAATCATAAAACTTATCCGGCAAATTTATACACTAGCTTTTGAAAGAGGTATTTGCTGCTTATTGATCCATGATAAAGAATGCCTAAATGCTCAAGTGCAGAATGATATTTGCAATTCCACTCGATAGTGGGCTCGAACTTCAGATGTGAAACAAGCTGTCAGGCAGAGATAATTAATTGCACACGCTCTCCGAATCTAATGGAAGATAGCTGTGATGTGATCAGTAAACAGTTTCTAACTGATAACGCACGAATTATTTTGTGGGCCGCAACATTTGTGACTACTGGTTTAGACGCACCTACGAGCACTTTTTTATTTGCTCTTATTTTCGATAGCTGTTATCAGGCTTGAACCATGAGACATTTAAAAGCACAAACTTCTGCAGCCGCTATTTTTAAATATGTGTATTGCAGAAGTCACTAAAATGAACACTTTTCTATGATGTAAGGTTTGAGGTTATCACGGTGGTGACTATGAAGAAAGCAGTCTTACGGGATGTGGCGCCGTGTAGATATTGTGTTAACCGACATTTCGGAGGAACGTATTGTTTCCATCTTCATGGTTCCTCTGAAACGTCGGTTAACACAATATCTACACGGCGCCACATTCCAGAAGACTGCTTTCTTCAGGTTTCTATGATATTTTCCCGGTTGTGTATATATATCAAAATTTCCCTCTAATTGTTTTATAGGTTTAGAAAATTGTTCTACAGCGGAAGAAATTGGAGAACGATTACGCAAGATGAGCAAATGGGCTGCGCCATAGCTCAAGCGGTTAGTCGCTGGCTTCCCAACGAGGCGGCCCGGGTTCGATCCCGGGTCTGGTCAAGTGGGATTTGTGGCGGAAAAGTGGCGCTGGGGCAGGTTTCCTCCGAGTACTTCGGTTTCCCTGCCAATCTTCATTCCACCAATTGCTTCACAATCACACTCACCTATCATCTGGGGCTGGTACAATAGGCCAGAAGTGGCAGCTACAAGAGACTTAGTCCCACCCCACTATCAAAAAAATAATTCTCCTATTTACTTCTTCATCTTACGTATGGTCTCCTTCCTTCAGATCTTCCGAAAAATATTTTGTATGAACTTCTGATCATTCCCATTCGTGCTACATGTCTTGTCCACCTCCTCTTCCTTGATTTGTTCATCATAAATCAGGCTACATAAAAGGCAAGAAATTTGTTGTTCAGCTGAGCGGATATTAGCTTCTCAAAACGGAACGCGTTCCACATGTGCTGATTGAATGAATGAATCAAATAATAGTGAGAAGACAGTGGCGGACTAGGTACTGTAATCATTAGGGCCCGGATTTCTATGACATGTCATATTTTTTTCCTAGGATTTATTCCTATTTTTAAATGTAATTATGCATGTTTCCAGTCATTCTTTTGAAATTATGTCGTTTTTATTGTGCATATAAATGCATATTTTAGAGTTTTATTGGTTTTACAGCATATTTTGGCATAATTTTGAAATAAGGTCATATTTTTGTCATTTTAGAAACAATTATTTGATATAATGTAAAATTTCGGCTCCATAATTTTTAGTATTACAAAATAAATTTCAGGCTGGACTGTTGCTTCAATGTGGATTAGAGTTCAAGTACATGAAGGTCGTATTAAAACCCATATTTTTTTACTGGACTGTACTTGCAGTTACAAAGGCGAAAATTTGTGAAATTCAGCATTTATGACCTGGCAAGCCGGCCTTTCCCAGTAGAGGCAGGAGGGAGGCAAGTGTAATGGGTATTCTCCTATTGTACTCCGTCTTACTATAAGGTATATACATCCCATTCTTTCTTGGAGGGCTTAGAAGTATTCTATTTATATATGTGGAGGGCGTTATAAGACTTCAGTTTGACTTTACAATGCCTAAAGTGAGTACATGTAGTCCAAGGAGCGCAAAGTTGCGTATTTTTGTACAGGAGTTTGGTGAAAAAGTGTTTAGTACCGATGGCAAGATATTTTATTGTAAGTTGTGTGGCGTGAAAGTTACGGCAGAAAAGCGATTTACTGTGCAGCAGCATTGTAAAACCTTTAAACATGGTAAATGTCTAATCAGATTATCTACAAAGGATAGCAGACAAAGTTTGTTGTTTAAAAACAGTTCCACTAATTCTTCTTCTTCTTCTCCTTCTCCTTCACCTTCTTCATCGAACAATGAGTCAGAATTTTCGAAG